CCTTTCCCACTCTTGCCCTGGCGTGGGTGTTCAGAAGGGCACGTGTAGGAAACGTGCAGCCATATGGAGGTATTTATGCAGTCGTATGGTGGTTGTTAGTGTAGCTGCACAATGCACTGATTGTCAGAGCGTGTTTCCGTGGGTTGTTTGCACAGCAGGACTGTGTGAGCGCGGATCGGGTGCCCGTTGTGCCCGCGGCACGTGAGGGCAGTTCACAGGGCTGGGGCCTTAAAGATAAGGGAGGGGACAATACGTGGACGTAAATGACGGGTCATGTGGGAGAGGGAAGGAGCACCTGCGTCTGAAAGATAGGGATAAATCCCATTGAGAAAGGTGTGGGCTGAGTCGGACTGCGCAAAGCAGAGGGATTACGTGGTGCCTAGATAGCAAACAAGAGAGCAAACCTTCAGAGAGGCAGTAAGGAGGGCACTTCTGTGGGCTCGAGGGCAGCCGCGCCGCACGGGAGGGCTCCAGGCTCCTCCTCAGCTCACAAACTGTCCAGGCAACCGGGGAAAATAACTTGAGTGAAAGGCGAACCGCTTGAAAAGGAGGTTTTTGTTTTAAGAGTAATCAAATAAAGCAGAAAAAAAGCATGATGCAAGAGAGGAAAACTAACTGACACTATATAGATTAAGCAAATCTGTATATTTTTGTCAATGAACATTTTTTTTTGTCAATATTACGATTAAGATTAAGCCCACAGTTCCCACTGAAATAAGCAGATGCAGCTTTGGGTCCAAAACCACCAAAATTGCTGTTTTTAAAAACAGTTAAAACATCATTCCTCCCATGTTAAAAAGTAATTAAAATATATATTTTAGTCTTAATTGGAATAAATAATCTACAGTTGAAAATAATCTGTATTTTCTAACTGAATTTCAAATTGGAACGCGTTGACATAAAAAGACCACAAATAAAAGGCGCTTTCCTTCCCGGCGCCGTCCCTGCTCGCGCTTGGCGGGCGGCCCCAGCGCGCTCGAACGGGATGGACACCCGTTTGCCTTCCGAGTTCTCTGCTCTCGTCGTGTCTTCACCAGAGTTCTGTACCCGAGGTGTTTGGAAATTGAGTTTCATTTCCAGTCTATTAGCCAATAACCGATGATAAATTGTCATGATCTCCCGTTCATCCCTCCTCAGTGAATTTCGTTATACATTTTCTATGGCAAGTTTTCTTTAGGAGCTGAGAGTGTGTTACGCTAACAGTTCTTTTCTCAGGTTCAGTCTACATTCAGTAATTGAGATTGTGATTATACCTAACATCTTACATTTTCTCCTTGATTTTTTTTAATCATGTATTTTCATCTCAAGTGGAAAAAGAGCATTTATTGCATTTTCCTCATGGAATATTTGCTTTAATTTCCATTGTTAGAACTGGCAAAGTGCACGTCAATATCATCTAATCTTCGCATCAAGAGCTTTGACAGCTCTTTTCCCCTTGATGTCAAAGTGCAGCTGTATTAACATGATGATGACTGTACAGTACAACTGCTTGGGTAAAGCATAGTCACGAGTTCAGCCTGCTCGTGAATATTGAAAGAAATGTGTCCGTGCTGTTTTCTGCTGGTGAAATTATCAGGGTTTTTAAATAGGAACCCTCCAAGAAGAGCCAAGATGCAGCTGCCCTTGTGCCAGGCGGTGCCTGGA